CCCGTTATTGAATCGAATAATCGATATGATCCCTTGAGCATTTAGGCGAGGGCTAACTTAGATTACTCCCTAAATTAAAGGGACTAAATTGAAATCTAATCTAAAGTGGAGGCTTTAATATTAATCTTAATTAATTATACTATTCAAATAATTAAACTAGAACATCGAGCAAAAATAAGGACCGAATTAAGAATTCACCTATTTTAAGGATTAAACCTAAAATAAAAATAATCTATATTAGAACTAAAATATTAAAAATCTAAATTAAGAGGTTTAACAATTAAAATATAAAATTGGGACTAAATGTAAAGAAATTAAAAATTAAAGGCAAAATTAAAAGTAATTACCAAGTAAATGGACTAAATTGAAATAAATTAAAAATACAAAGTTGATATTAAAGCATAAAGTAAAAGGACCAAAATGCAAGATAGCAAAATAAGGCATTCAATGTGATCAAATATGAAACAAGCATGTATATATATATATATATATATATATATTCATGGGACTAAAATGGAATAAATAGAAAATAAAGTGCAATAATTAAAGGACTAAAATTAAAGTACTGAAAAATACAAGGCAAAAATAAAAAGATAGAAAATTAAAGTAATGAAATTAAATAAATAAAAGTAAGGGAAAAAATTTAAATGTGCATAAATTAAATAGCAAAAATAAAAGAGCAATAAAAATAAAATGTTAGTGTTAATTTAATATTTAACTTGGATCGTAAATAATGCAAGTCGTACCCCGGGGCAAGTTGTCGCAAGGTCATACTATGGTTGGAATATAAAATAAAATACATAAATAAATAAAAAGTTAGTAATTAAAAGAGTTTGGACCATAATAATGTGGATCATACCCTGAATTGAGTTACTAGAAGGTCGAATCAAACATTAACAACAAATAAATTAATTAAAATAGTTGCTAAAATGCAATAAAATAAAGAGTCAATGGTTAATTTGAAATAAAAAAACATATGTCAGTGACCATATTATAAATAAATAAATAAAACGGTGCATCCGAATCAAAATGCACAAAATGTAAATAAAATGGTCAAAATATAAATAAACAAAAGCATTATATCAAAATTAAAATGTAAACACGTGACCAAAATGTATAAATTGAAAGTATCACATCAAATTCATAAATAAATAAAGATACAGAACTAATTAGTGACAAAAATGTAATAACATAAAATTCAGTGATCAATTTCAACTAAATGACAAAATAAAACAGTGACTAATTTAAATAAAATATAATAGAATGATAAAAATGCAATAATTAGAAAATGGAGGCCCAGTGACCAAAATGCAAAAACACTGCAATCATAGGGGGACTTCTAAGAAAATAAACCAAAAATTAGTATTAGAAAATAAAAATGAAAATTAAGAAATGAATACAAAAATTTAAATTTAATTAAGGAACTAAATGAATATGGTGACCAAAATGAACTCGAGAAGAAATAGCAAGGACTACAGAGAGAGTTAGGCCCTCAGGACCAAAACGAGCAGGGGGAACCAAAACGGCACCGTTTCACTTCTGGTATAAATACCTTTTTTCCATTCTTATCTCATTTTTTTTCTTTTTCTTAGAGAGATGAACTCTCTCTTCTCTCTAATGTCCCCAGAATTCGGCGGGAGTCCAGTCGCCAGTTGCCACATCGGCCATCAACGATTGCCATTATCAGTGGTCGTTCGGGCCCAAATTTCATGGGCTCAGTTTCACGAGATCCGACATCTAACTCCACAAAAATGACCGAGAATGTTTCGGCTTCACCTTCTCCGATCTCCGTCGTCCACCATTAGATCGGACCAATTTCAAGTTATGTTGCTTGTCGGCCTCTCTTCTCCCTCCTGACCATTTAGATTCGTCGACGAATACTCCGAACGCCAATGAATCTTTAGCCGAGAGGTAAACTTCTCTCTCTTCTTCCTTTTTTTTTGTAAGGTTGGCTCAAAAAAATAAAATATTTTTTATTATTTTCGAATTTAGAAAGGGGAATCCCCGTTACATTGTTGTTGCTTGGGTTTTATAGAACCAATTACACTTTATATAAAATAAAAACTATATTTTTTCTTCCTTTTGTTGCTTTGTTGTAGTTGAGCTGGAATTTGGTGGCAGTATGGAGATGGTAGGGCTGGTGGTACAGTGACCGGGGCATTGAATGCCCGGATACTCGGGGATTGATCACTGTTATATATATATGGTGAAAATTGGTGATTACATCAGTCATCATTAAATTCACTACTAGATCGAGAAATTGGAAATCATTTGTGTTGTCAATGGGTGGGAGATTGACTTTAGTGAAATATGTATGTCTAACTTATCGATTTATTTTCTTGTATTGTTTTAGGTATCTGCTTCAGTACAACAATAATTAAATAGTTTGATGTCAAACTTTACGATGGATTAATAAGGATTAATTTGTTAAATTTGAAATTATGAGAGATCTATTAGGCCTTTTTAAAAAAAATTCATAATAGAAATTAAAGATACTGTCTAAATCTTCATTTATTACTTTATCTGTATTTTCCGAAGAACTAAACGGAAATTTTGTTTTCACTTTAAACAAAAATATAGTTATGAGATAAAGATTATACATGGATGGTTGAATAACATTCATGTGTGGGTCCATCAAATTTTGGAGACATGTGATGTCACGTGCCACAGTTGTACATGAACGGAGTTGACTGTTTAATAAGTGTACTATGCATGGGGCAAGTAGTCTCAAGTCGATTATCGAGAAATTTCATGCATGTATGGGTTAAGTTTATTAAGTCCTGTTTTTCAGTGCAAATACTTGTGATGATATTGAACAAGCCATTTGCACAACCTATAAATGACTTGGAACGTTATCAGAGTCATCCTTCAGGCCTTACCGACATATCAAATGAGTCTGTTTGCTGCACATATGGTTCATGCGTCATCTTCATGATATCTACTAATCTTGTTTGAATTAGTTTGTTCATGGCCATGCAATGATATGATTGATTAAAAAAAGAGTTAATTGCATCACATGTCCGTCACTTTAAATTAATCCTTAAACTTTTGAACATTCTAATTTCATCCCTAAACTATAACCCTCATTATAAATTAGTCCTCAAACTTTTAAACATTTCAATTTCATCTCCAAACTATTATGTCCTTCATTTTAAATTGGTCCTTAAACTTTTTGAACATTCTAATTTATCCCAAGCTATACTTATATACATCCCTTGTTAATGAAATCGTTAAGCCAAATTATATTATTATTATATGTTTGAGAAAAACAAAATTTAGGGTCCGTTTGTTTCACTGAAAATGTTTTCCATAAAATGAATTATATTTTCTAAAGAAAGAAAAATCTGGAAAGCGTTTTATGATGTTTGGAAGATGTTGTTTATACCCTTTTTCCACTAGTTGATGAATTTTTTAAAAATTATTTATTACAAATATTAAATACAATAAATAATATTATTTATCATAAAACTTAATATTATTATTTTTAAAATATTAAAATAATTTATTTAATATTAAAATATTATAATTTTATTAATAAAAATATTAATATTGGTATATTTTATTGAAATAAAAATATTATAAATTATATTAATTATTTGTTAAAGCAATAGTGTTATATTATATTTTAAAAATATTAATTAGTATATTTTAAATATATTTATTAAAATATTATTATATTATTATATTAATATTAAATATATAAATAATATTATTCATTATTAATAATTTAATAATATTATTTCTATGAAATTAATAAATAATATAAAATTTATTAAAGATTTATTATATATTATTAAAATAAAAATATGATATCTTATATTATATTATTATAATATAATTGATTATTTTATTATAATAATAAAAATATTATATTATATTATTAAAAATATGAATAAATATATTTTAAATATTTTAATAATTAATATTTTGATTAAAATGATATTAAAATATTTTATTAATATTAAATTTATAAAATAAAATTATTTTGAGTATTTATTCTTTGAAGTTAAAAGTTCAGAAAATGACTTACGGAAAATCAGACCGTAAGTCATTTTCCAGAAAACACGAAGGAAATTTTGTTGACCATAAAATGTTTTTACGTTGACCAACCAGTTTTCCTCCAACCAAACACTGGAAAATGAGGAAAACATTTTCCGGAAAACGTTTTACGTAAAACAAATGGACCCTAGGTTAAATTGTGATTGAAACTAATTACATATTTGGATGAATTTAGGGATGAAATTGGATGACTCAAAAGTTTGAGGACTGATTTAGAAAAAGGGTCAAAGTTTAGGGATTAAATTAAAATGTTCAAAAGTTTTAGAATGGGTTATAGTTTGGGGATGAAATTAAAATGTTCAAAAGTTTAAGAACCAATTTAAAATGAGAATTATAGTGCAAGGACATATGAAGTAATTAACTATTAAAAAATTAAACCCTAAAATGTATATTTTAAAATAGTATAATAAAAATTCTTGAATGTATATTTTAAAATATTAAACCCTAAAATGTATATTTAAAATTATTATAGTTCAAGTATTGAGAATTAATTTGATAAAACTTGCTCAAAGGGTCAATTTATCAAACCTTGAATACAATTTTCAGTGCTGGATAGAATTAAAAGGTAAAAATAAAATTGAACTTTAAAAATACATATTTTAAACTAAATTACACCATCTCCTATTTTCCTTTCAAAGGGACATAATTTACTTTTACATATAATGAAAATGATCATCCCTCTTTTTTTTTTTTTTTTTTACTACCAAACACACTCAATTAATTTTCTTTCTACTTTTCCACTACCTCCTTCCATCCTTTCACCCAACCAAAGCCTAAATTTGGAGAATGCTTTGGGTTTTCATTTTATTTTATTACATTCAATTCCAGCCAGGCATGCTTACATTTAAAATAATAATAATTTCAATATGCAGCAAATCCACGTCAGTAACACACAAATATGGCTGCAATTGCCAATAAAAGTCATTATATAAACAGCATCAGCATCAGCTTCAGCTTCGAAAAGGTGTGACCCTCAATTGAACAATTTGTGTCTTTATGTCAATTCATTCCTAACTTTTATTGCACTAAATTCAACTTAAATCTCACTCTACATCAAACTTGGAATACTTACTGCCATGTGAGCCCAATGGAGCCTCCTGATGATGCATCCGACGCCTTCGATTAGCTCTCCTATGCGCACGACTCTGTGCTCTGCTTGACATACTTGAAGGAGTAGAGTGATGAATCTCCTCCGAGGTAGCTGTATAACCAAAAACACAGTCTAGCGGGTCTGCCATCAATTCAGAACCAGACTTCACCTGGAATAATAGGGCAATTGGTGCACTGAGTCAAAATAATCATTGTCAACCCCAAAATTTTGCTCCCTTACATTAGCAGCATTCAGTTACAGGATAGGAACTTTGGTTTTGAATGTCATAACAAGCAAAACAATTGAAAATAGCTGGGTTCATAATATGTACTCTCCAGCTACAAAGGTTCAGCTTGAAAAAAACTCTAATACAGCTCAATCACTGCAGAGTTAAGCTCAAGGTATTGAGCGAGCTGAATTCTTGTATCTAAATGATCGACTTAAGTAGCTCACCAGCCTAATCAAACTTTTTATTTTTGATATATATAGTTTTAATTAATACTGAAAATTTCAATCCATACTCGAGCTTGAGTACAAATTCAAGTTTCAAGTCAAGCATGGGAATCGAACCCATGTTCTTTACTAGGTAAACATACCTAACCAACCGAACTCAAACAGCACAACCTTTACCTCAAATCAAGCTCGAGTTGTTCTGATACCTTGAGCTTCAGACGGCTCGATTACACCCCTAAAAGAAGTCTGTTCTACATAACTTAAAGCACCTTCTTGTACAACTTCATTATAAGTTTAAGATAATGTTGTGACAATGCAACTCAGAGAACTTACATGAATTTGCTCGGATTTCAAATCCGTCTTTTTTCTGTCAAAATTATTGTGAATATCATTGGGGGTGGCATTATGGGAAACATCTCGGGAATCACTATGAGTGCCTTGATCCTGGTCAACAATATCACCAAAGAAATTTCGGTAACGCCACCTTAACCGTTGCCCCGATGCTGAATCGTCAAATACTTCCTCTAAATAGAAATGCTTAGAGATAATTCGCATCTTCCAAGGATCATCCCGGTATTTCTTCAATATTCTGTATTTGACATTCGGCTTATGAATAAGAAACTTTAGCAAAAGTAACTGTAAACAAATATCTATTGACATGCAACAATAGAACATATAGCAGATGACAAAGAATCATTGACTGTTTTAAAGCGCAGTAGAAGATCCTGAATTGACTCAGCATTTGTTTAATCTGATACTTTGTGTTAAAGTCAGAAGAAAGTATCAAATAAAATGAAGATAAAAGATTCAAGCCAGCATCTGATGGAAATCTGTAGCCCTATGTTGCTCCGACTCTATAATTTTCTCTAAGTACCAATGCCCGACACCAATGTTTAATGCATATCCAGACATGGGTGTCGAAATTAGATCATCGAAGGACCCCAAGAACATGAATTTTTTTCCTTTAAAAATGAATATATTCAATCCAGACACATACCCATACCCTAAACTTACACCCAGGCCCAAGTAACATGGTTGTAGCCATAATGAGGCAGATAATATCTAAACTTTGCTTAAAACTGTAATCCCTAAAGAAAACTTTTTTTAAAAAAATTAACAAATGGGATATAATCATCAGCATATACTTTCAGAACAGAAGGCGTCCACGTGCCCAAACTTATGGTACAGACAAGTAAAAAAATTCAACTTTCTTAAAAAATGAAATTGAAATTTAAAATAAAAAGGAGAGAATAATCTTTACACACCAAAAGAAAATTTCCAAAGATCATTTCTGATATGAATACATTTATCTTACCTTTCAGAACAAAAATGACCTACTCAAAACAAATTTTGTTCACCTAAAGAAATATATGCCCAAATCTATGAAGCACTATCATGATTAATCCAAGAAAATGACATTTAATTTACTAGTTGATTTAATGCTTTATAATTTATACTTAAAAGTATCCAGAATTTCAAAATGCAAATTACAGACATATATTGAACTTAAGGCAACAAAAGATAAGTATATCTAAGTTAAGCGGTTAACTTAGTATAGGATCCAAGCAATCAAGCTAGTATTTTACTCACCATATATCTGATATGTCTATAGATCGGTTAAAACATAATAATTTTCATATTACTTTAAGTGGAAAATTTCAACACGAAAGTGTGAATGATACATACATATTTGCTAATTCACTTTGCATCCGAGTTCCATCTAAAGCAAGAATACGGTCAACACTTGATTCTAGTGAATTCCCAAATCTCCAAAATCCAACTATTATTGCAGCTCCTGCATAAAGTGAAGACTCGATTGTCATTGGAAAAATAGTGTATTGCGTGTGTCAGCATGTTCATACATGTCAGGTGGTGAACATGATCAGCCAGAGAGAGAGTTACCACTAGAGAGGTTTACCCGAAGTAACCTATTCAACTTCCATGTTGCTGCCAGAAAGGATAAAAAAATCAGAAAATCGTAAAAAATGGCATATCCAGCCGCTAGAATAAACAGAAAAAAAAAGGATTATTATGAAAGTGATTTGGGTATTCTTGAGATAATCTAACAGAATTGGGAAACGCAGCAAAATAGAACGGCAGCATCAATAACAAAGGGAAAACATACTGCAAGCATATGCAGTCAACAAAGAACTTACCTTCATAATTATTTTACTATCCAATTGAAGATTTACTAAAAAATAGAAAGGATTTATAGACAACAGTCTGGGAAAGAACAACTTGTGGACAAACCAAACTTCTTGTTAATGCTTGGAGACGAAATCATTCTTTTGGGAAAAGCAATTGCATCATCAAAATAGAATCATGGTGATTTTATAATACTTCACCAAACAAGCAAGCTATTCATAGTTGTAGAAGGATCATATCATAAGGCATTTTACCTGGAATAGTGATTAGAATAAAAAACAATGGTGTGGAAAAGTTTCAAAAAGCATTTGCATGTATTTCCTTTGTACCTGCCATATTGTTATTAATTATGTCCAATCATTCATAGTCTCAACTCTTGAGAGCACAGAATTCCATTTACCACAATAAGAGAAATTTCAGGATCTGAAGACCCAATATTATGAACCTAGAAAGAAATGATACACGCAACAACATTTCAAATCTTTAACAAAAATTGAAGTTAAAAAAACAATGATCAATAACAACGATACTGAACAGAACATCACCCGTTCCAGAAGGCATAGTTTTTTAATCTGTGCTGCTTCGACTCTTCATTTTTCTTTAAGTACTCAAGTTTTCTAATACTTCGTATCTACACTAGATGTCAAGCCATAGAAACAATTGAACATGCTTGTATTGGTCACAAACCCATATCCAACATTCACAACCATGCCTAGGGAACATAGCTTTAAATTCACAATCATTCTAGGGCTTGTTCTGTATATCAAAACCCATTTCCATGGATGTGCAGTTAAAACAAAGAACCAAAAATAAGGAGCAAAACATAGATACCTGCCCAAACAAGACCACCTCCAGCAATTAGACCAGCCGTGAACTGATTAAGTGCCGAGGACTTACACCTTTGAAAAATGTTCTCTTCTTGTGGGCTCAATCGTTCCTATGAAAATAACACACAATTGAAAGCGATTATAAGAAATTACATTATGCAAACATTGATATCATTACACCAAACAATTACTTGTATCGCCACACGATTTCAAGACAAATTAACAGTTCGGAAACAGCATGTACAGGTTATAATCGGTAATTTTGGGACCCTTTCTAAATTTTCCGTGGTAATGGATCCACAAAGTTAAACAAAGAAACGAGGAGTTAAAAAACAATTAAATTGAAAAGGAAACGAAGGGTACCTTTTGGGATCTTAAACTCTGCTCAAGATCAAACAAAGCGTCACCCATTTTCCTGAAAATTCAGCTGCTTTTTTGTTTTGGATGGCTGAGAGACTGCCTTGAGAGTGTACAACAGGAGGGAGATTGTTCGTGTTCTTGGACCTTGGCCGAGTTTTGATGATAGGTTTGTCTTGGGTTCGTAAAGATTAGTGTTTGTGAAAGATCCAGTTTGGTCTGAATCCATGTACAATTAAATGAGTTTAAAATCATTTATTAAATTTGTAAACACAAACAACTTAATATATTTTTAAGTATTTACATCATAGTATTATTTATTTAGTTTTAATTTTATATAAAATGATTTTCTTTGACATGTTTGTTAAGCGTTTATATATATTATTTAATAATTATTTTACTTATCGAAACTATTTTTATGATCGAAAAATATTTTTCTTAAAAGCCTATTTCTTTTAAAATAGCCTTTTTCAACCATTCTAGGTTAGGTATGACTAAACATTTATAGAATATCCTTTTGTAAAAGTTTTTTTTTTCTGGAAATGAGTTTAAAATAATAATTTAGGAGGTTTGTATTTAAAATCTAAATAAAATTAAGTTCAGGAGACGATTACGTTTTGAAGACTAAAACACTCTTACGATTCTTAAAATTAATATCTTTTTAAAATTATGTGGTCTCATTTCTTAAAATCGAAATAAATAAATGCAAAGAAAGGATTAGTAGCAATCTCAATAATAATATTTATAATAAATTAGATACCAAAAAATAAAATTATAAATACAAATAAATTAAGTGTTACAAGTCTATAGTATTTGAGAAATCTCTTTATGTTGAATTAGGATAAATTAGTATTGTAAGGATATTTAGGTGCCCATATATGGTTTGGTATGGTATTCGAGTAAGTTAGAGTGTAGTTTAGGCCTAACTAGGCCATTCCTACACTTTGGCATTGATATTGTTCTTACAGTATCAATATCATACGAATATAAGAGAAATTTGTGCTTTTCCTAGAGAAGAGTATTAATATCATATTCATGCAGTATCACTATCGTTCCTCTAATATTAATACTCGTTCTTATGGTATTGATACTAAGATATTTATCCATACTTTGTAGCTGGATTTGATATCGATACTCGAGGAAAATATCGATACCATAAAGGATAGTATTGATACTTATGTAGTGGTATCGATACTGTAAATTTTTTATCAGACTTTGAGGCTAGACTTAGTACCAATACTCGAGATGGGTATCGATATCGTTATGGGTATCGATACGGTGCGGGGTATCAATACCACAATGAATTTATCAACTCCGAGCCTAAATTAGGTAATGATACTCATGGTGGATATCGATACTATTGGAGATAATACTGATACTCATAGTCGAGTATCAATAACATCAAGATTTATTAGAACTTGAAATCTTAATTCGGTATCGATATTCAATTCAAGTATTGGTACTCATAGGCGTAATATAGATATACAAGCAAAAGTATCAATACTACCAGGATGGTTCATATACTTCATAGTATGGATCAAATAATACTACCAGGATGGTTCATAGACTTCATAGTATGGATCAGATATTTGTGTTTGAACATTGCAAAGCATGAATGTTGTTTATGTGACTTGGTTCTACGAAGTTTGCTTGTATGTATATGAGACATATGTGTGATCTATCACGTGGATAAATTTGACTAAGTTAATAAATGACTACAGTTGGCGGCACCGAGGCATTCCCGGTGGAAATCGGACTCCACCAGGGGTCGGCTCTTAGCCCTTACATATTCGCCTTGATTATGGATGACATCTATTGTGCGGCACCAGACGGTGTTCCATGGTGTATGCTTTTCGCTGACGACATTGTCCTAGTTGCTGAAACAAAAAAATGAGTTGAATAGTAGACTTGCTACCTGGAAGACTACTTTGGAAGAAAAAGGTCTAAGGATCAATATTGAAAAGGCATAGTATTTATGTTCAAACTTCAGTGGGAACCAAAACGATGAAGATGTAGAAGTATGCATCGAAGGACACGTTCTCCCCTCAAAGGATTGTTTCAAGTACCTAGGGTCTATGATACATAACGATGGGGGTGTAGATGATGACGTTACACACCGTATAAAGGCGGGATGGCTAAAGTGGAGGGCTGCTACTGGGGTTTTGTGTGACAAGAAGGTGCCTCTAAAACTCAAGGGAAAATTTTATAGAATGGCAATAAGACCAGCGCTGCTATATGGATCAGAATGTTGGGCAATCAAGAAGGATCACTTAAGGAGGATGGAGGCCGCAGAAATAAGAATGCTTCGTTGGGCATGTGGTAGGACTCTGTGGGACATGACACCAAACTCTGCTATTAGGATGTCCTTGGGGGTGGTGCTTGTATCCGAAAAATTGAGGGAGGGAAGACTACGGTGGTTTGGGCATGTCCTTAGGCGACAACCGTCGGATGCAGTCAGGAGGGTAGAGTCGATTTCAATCGACGGTGCCAGAAGGAGAGGACGACCAAGGAGGAAGTGGGTAGACTGCTTGAGATCTGATTTGAAGGATTTATCCCTTACCGAGGACATGACCTCTGATAGGAAAGTATGGAGACTTAAGACCAGGGTAGCCGAGTAGTGTGGGTCAACAGCCATAGGGTGTAGCATCTCTGTCTTCTTTTTAATTTCCTTTGTTGTAATTTCCATGACCTCTACTTTTTATACGTTTTCTATCATTGGAATTTAGGAAGGCTTCGAACTAGGGTAGAGGAGTAGTGTTGCCTTAGTTTAGGTTTTAATCCATTTTGACTTTATTCATTATCGTAGCTTAGCGCTGACATGCGTGTATATTTCTCTTCATGTTTCCTCTTTTTAAATTAATCCAGTACTTACGTTTTCTGTCTATATGCAGAGATTTTTAGGCAGGGATTACTTCCCCATTACAGACGCGCATATGAATGACTGCATATGAAGACTATTCAACTATGTATTTATTTATTTATTTATACATGCATTGTATTTAATCTGTATTTTTAATTTTCTGAATTGCCGGAGGTCTTCCACGGAAGCTGCTCTCAACCTGGCGTTGAGGGCAGCCTACTAACCTACCCCCTTACCCTATTGCATATGAAAATAGGGTTTTATTGTTGTTGTTGTAATAAATGACTATTAAATTATTGAATAAAAGTTTTTAACCAACCCCAAAATCATTAAGTTTTAACCTACACAGTATGGTGTGACATTATTGACTTTGGTTCAATTTTTAGATCGAGTTGAGGATGTTATAACAACCCTAACTTCAAACTTTATATTTTTTATTAAGTTAAAGGTGATTATAAAGTAGTATATGTTCTAAGTACTCTTAACCATTTGACAATTAACGCTCAATCACCTTTCCAGAGGCTGATGCTCGAACCCATGACCTCTAGGATAATTTATACAAAAATAGAGCTTTGTAATTGGATATAGAGTAAATTAAAATAATTCAAAAAATAATATATTAATAACATAGTTGTGTTGGTATTCCTTTGCTGACGGTGCTCCTTAAACTCGAACATAAAACTCAAACAAAAATAATTTGAATATTGAATTTTACAAGCTTAATAATGATAAGTGTATCGAGGATTGATGATGGATGAAAATATTTTGTTTTAATTCAATGTTTTTTATGCATAGAAGTTTATTGAGAAATGATTTTCATTATAAAAGCATGGGATATGTACTCGTTAGCTCATAAGTAACGCATTAATGAGAAATCATGATATGTGTTGTGAAATGATTTGAAAGAAAGTTATGATTTTTTTTAGTCTGTATCAAAATTGGGAAATGACGAGCTTAAATCATATATATTGTTTTAATGTTTGCATCGAAACAATTTGATATAATTGGTCAGACATAATATTGGATATACTAACAGAAGAACTCATTAGTCTATCATGATCGGAATTCATGAAGAATTCGTAAGTCTTAATTCAAAATGACTCGTATGTCTTCGTCATTGTCTTGGGATTTGCGGAAGCTCGAATCGACAACCGGAACGGTTTGCAAAGAGGGGTCGGAACGGTTTTTGTGTTTAGGGAGTAAGTAGATTGAAAGATATAAAATTTGCACAGCGATTTATAGTGGTTCGATTTCTCAACCAAGTCTACATCTACTACCTTAGCTCCTCACCAAGGATTTTCCAACAAATTCACTAATTTGTTCTTTTTTTTAAGGACAAAGAGATAACATTTACAACTCTCTAGTTGTCACGGATCAGTTAGAACCTTTCCTCTTTACAAAAGGATTAAAATTGTAAACAAATAAATCTCTCTAAGGTAGGTGTTTACAAGAATTAAGCTCACAAGAACAACATTTACAAGAGAGAATGAAAATAAGAATGAAAAACTTCTTCTCTTGTGTTTGAATGTTTGGATAGGTGTTCTCATTTTCTTCAACTTGTATTTATAGTTTGAAATGAGTTTGAAGTCGTATATAGCCGTTGGGGATGTTTTGGAGCCGTTTGAAGATTATTTTTATGCAAAAATAGGCTGTCCAGAACAGGGGGTATCGGTACTACCTTTGTTAAATTCAAATTTAACTAGTTGTTGCTAGCCGTTGGAGCCTTGTAGTATTGATACTGCCTAAGGGGTATCGGTACTACTTTGCACTATGGTATCGATACCCTTGCACGGTATCGATACCCTTGCACGGTATCGATACCCTTTTTGCATTCGATGTTTGAGCCTTCATAGGGGTATAGATACCCATTCATAGGGGTATAGATACCCATTCATAGGGGTATCAGTACCTCTTAATATTTTTTGCTCAAATCCGAATTTAATGGATTTTGAATTATTTTTGAAATCTTTGAATAAATTCAGTTCAAGTCCAAAAACATTTTGCCTTAATTTGTTATATCGAAACATAGTTTTACACATTGAGCTCACATTATAAATTAAAGTTCTAAATCATGACTCATTAACCTCAATTGAAGTAGGAGATAAGGAAATTTGAATATTTTATGTTATACATTCACACTTTGTTTTATTCATAATAAATAATCAGTATGTCATTAGTGAAATATGCGTAGATTTCACTTATATGAATACATGATGGCCTATAATTCGGAATTGATTTGTGAACGAATATTTTGAAATAGCAACAAATGAGCATAAAAACTCCTTTTTTTAAGCAGTGATTTAGAGATGCATATTTTTGTTTTACTTGTGTCATTGCGTTTTTGGTGG